CCATCGATCTGATTGATTAATTGCGAGAGGCAAATGATCAAAATACTACGGAGGGAAGATATTTTCGTTTGGATTGCTGGTCTGGGAGAAGCTCGCGAGTGTGTGTGTGTGTGTAAACGTGTGTGTGTTTGTGTAATTTTGCGTTTGTGTGTATTGCGTTTGTTTCCCGGGGAAAACCCTCACGAGAAACACCGGCTGTTGTTATGCCTGCTGTGACGTTAAGTTACTCCGTTCTCCGCTTGTAATTATGCCGTTACAAGCTTCAAAGTTGTATTTATCATCTGAATTTGCCGAAACAAGTTTAATATTCTGAAAGCCAAGACTTTGTTTTAATTGAAATCAGATGAAAACAAACTGTAACGGACACTGCCGTGTTATTTATGATTACTCTACGCTTACATTCATAATGTCAGCCGGAGGGAGGGGGGGCGGCGCTGCTGAAGAGCAGATTGCCTTTCATCTTCCCTTTACAAGCTTAAAGAATGTATTTATCGTGTGAGTTTGGAAATAAAAGTTTCATATTCTGAAAGCCAAGACTTTGTTTGTTTAAAATCAAACAAAACACCCGAACCCCGACAAAAAAGTTTTTTATGCAAATCAACGTTTATTTTGAAATGAGCCGTTGCGACTTCCGACAGATTTCGATAGAGCGGGTCACATATGAACACGCTTGCAGCCTCGAAAATGTGCCTATGTTTATGTAAATGAGCCTTCACCACGATCAGGAAGCAACACACAGCTACTCTCAAGAGGAAGTTCACGTTTTCATGTCTTGCCTGAAGCTTTTAGGAATCCCTTTCAGCTCTTCAATCAGGACATGCAGCTTGCAGTCTGAAAATGTCCCTTTATTCTGACTACTGTGCCCTTTTCCACATGGCCAATTGAGTGGTGCAGTGACGAGTCCTAAAACCCGGAAGTGAGTTAGCATTTTACCACTACCGGTTCCCTCGTCTCAGAGTCAATGGGATTTCTCCATACAGTAGAATCTTGGAAAATATCTGGAAATAAGGTCTGTGGTTGACACACATTGAAGAGACGGATCACGTTTTGTTCTACGGCATTAAATACGTCAGCATTGACCCCACTGGTGATTTTTGAAGAGTTTACGTGTCTGAAAAACGATGGTTGTTAACAAGTGGCTGAATAGGACTACAGAAGTTGTCGAGGACGTTGTACGTCATTACATCGAACACGTAAACACTCCCGCTAAGTTTGTTTTCCCTGTTCTGCTTGAAAGCAAGTGCCTGCCTCCTGCAAACTGTTAAAACAAAAAGCTTCAACTTGTAACAATTTTAATCTGTATTTTTTTAATATGGATCTTAAGTTGGCGTGACGTTGAGGTCGTGTGACCCTGCTGTACTCGGCTGTAGTTCCTATAGCATAACGTTAGCATTTTGCTTCTGGCGATTCGATTTATGATTAGAAAATTAAAAATGTAGGGTAGACATGTGGAGATTATCCGGCTGAACAAAACGTGCATTTATCAAACAGACCTTATTTCGAGCTATTTTTCTAAATCGTATGGAGAAATCCCATTGCTTTTTTGTCGAGGGAACCCATGCACTCTATTGCAACCACACGCAAAAAGAGCAAATTGCACTCTGCTGTGTTCCAGGCGTGTTTGCGCTGTAATGGACAGGCAGATTCACAGCCGGTTGCTGCAAGTGATGTGCAATTTATGGTACCATTAGAGGCTGCTATCAATTCTTTGTGGATTTGCCCTCAAGTCTCTGGTAACAACCTTTTCGGAAGAAACAGAATGTTCTAAAGAAAATGTTGACGATATTATATTGGTACAAGGTTTTGAACAATTCAATTTCTAATACAAATCACAGATTCAGTTTCACTTAAATGAAATGTCTTTTTTAAAGATTTAGTCAGCAGAAATACAATAATATCTCAAATCCGTAAAAAAAACGTAATTCCATTCATGTGTTCGCTGACAGGTTTCATACTGTTATATATTTATCACAGGTTGATTGTGTGAGGCTGGGAAACTGTAAGGTCAGTAATGATACATCTTCCAGTTGAGCCCAACAGTGTAAGTGACAGAATAAAAAGTCACCTTAGTCCAATCACGATGGATGTTGTTAAATTTGTATACCGTTTGTCAGTGTTTATATTTAATTCAGACATTAATTATCATGCATTGGTGGCAACAGAAATGACAGTGTGTCCGTATGACCAGAACTCACTGTGAGCTTGTAGATGGCAGCGTGCTGGTAGATGACGTTGAGCACAGTGTTGTAGTAGGTGAAGTACGGCTTGTCATCCACTGTCCATTTAAAAGTGGGATTGGAGCCTTCGAGCACTGAGGCTGTGTAGCTCTGAAACATACAATACGAGATTATTATAATAATAGATTAATTTTGTATAGTGCCTTTCAAGGGACCCATGGCGGCTTTACATGGTGAACAAACAAACAAACAAACAAAAAAACAAGAGGGGCAAGTAATAAAGTACAAATTAAATAAATAGTAGTAGGAATGGAAGCAGGGGGGCTGTGATGGGTTAGGGGTCAAAGGCCACGGTGAACAGGTGAGTTTTTAATGAAGACTTGAAGATGTCAAGGGAAGCAGCATTGCGGATCTCTGCAGGAAGTGCGTTCCAGAGAGTGGGGGCCGCAACACTGAACGCCCTGTCACCAACAGATGTGATGCAAAGACAATAATGTCAATGCATAACCTTGCGATACAGTAAACACACACTCACCACGACCGACTCCATCAGCACCCTGTGTTCAGGGTTGGGCTGCACCATCAATTCTCTGAGGGGCTCCTCCAGGTGGATGACCACAGACAGACTGGCCTCCGTTACATTATTATGGGCTTCCAGCTCCACCTGCACTGTACTGCGCTGCTCCTCTGTGTCCAGGCTCAGATCCAGCACTGCGTACAGACTGGGCTCTGGGACCTCCCCCCCCGACCCTGAGCCAGGCTCGGGCCGACAGAGCGCTGCATTGGAGGAAAACTCTTTGGGACAGTCGGGCTGGAAAGTCACGCTGCGATTGCTGTTGCGCCGAAAGGCCTTTGTTAGGTAGCTGGAGCGGATGCGGAGCAGCAGCCGGGTGTCGTTTGGCTGCAGGTAGAGGGTGCCATTCTGGGGAGGGGGGTGGAGGACCGTCAAGCCCAGAGGAGGCACCACACGCAACGGGCATGATGCTGAGGCTGGGTATGACGGCTCAACTGAAGTCACCTGAAGTTGATCAAATTCAAACATGTCTCAATTAATATGTTAAAACAACAGAATTACCAAATAAAAAAATCTATCATCTATCTGTGTTTATTTAATTATTATTATTATGTAATTCTCCTTTTGTCGTTGCCTTTCTCCCACGGGTAGGGAATGGTAAAGGTTTGGGATCGTTATATTGTCCAGTGTTTTTGTTCTTACTCTTACCTATGCACATTAGTTGTCATGCCACGTCTGAGCTGTTGTGTTCTGTGTTATATTAGATTTTTATTTTTATGAAGATGTGATAACAAATTTATAAGTTTGAAGTAAAAAAAAACATGCAAACATGCAAACATTTTTGCAGCATAAAATGTTTTATCTGAATGTGTAAATCTGTCTAATACATGCTGGGATTTGACATAGAGCTTTGATGTCTTACCAGCAGGCTGTAGAGTCCGGGCTGAGGGAGACCTGCGGACAGCTGTGCTCCCTGCAGCTGGGTCTCACTGTGTCCCACAGAGAGCACTCTGACGGGGCAGACCACCTCCTCCAACCAGCCCCCTTCTCCGTCCTCCACCAGCGCCCTCACATCCAGCTCAGCTTCCGGCAGAGGGTCGCCCTCGGCTGAGGTGCCTGGTGACCGTCCGGTGTTGTTGATCCAGAACCACTCTGATTGGTTGAGGGCTAAGACAGGTTGCTGCCACAGTGAGAGTGGGGAAGATTGGCAGCGGAGAAGGGAGGCGGGGCCAGCGTCGTGCTGCAGGGCGATGACATCACCACGGGAAACCAAGAGGTCCTCCAGCTGCTCTTGTACCTTTGAGCAACAGTGATCAGAAGGGTGTAGGCGTGAACTTGAACAACACAAGCCTTAACGGTTTAAAATATGTAACTTTCTCGTATTAAAAATGTCTAAAAACGACTAAACATATGTTATTCCTTTGTTGAGTAGTCTTACATTATCTCAAATGTACTGAATATTTTTCAAACTTTCAGGGATCCGTCATTTGAACCAAGGTAAGGGTCCATTTAATTTTGTCGCCACTGTGCATGCGTCAGCGCCGTGCTTTAAGTTCTCAATAATTCACTGTCTTCAATAAGACAACATATTTTTGATACACCTTTTAGATGAAAGGTTTCATTCCTCCAAGGTCTGCATGTTAAGTTTTCTGAGAAACAAGCTGAGCAATTCAGGCGCCACACTTACAGTACAGCATCAAAGAAAAAAGTGAATAAATGCTTTATTTTTTCAATTTTTTACTAGTTTTATTTTTGGAGAATAGGAGACCACCTTGTATAAAACTCTTGAAGGATGAACACTTAAACAAATCCTAACCGGGAGAAGTTGACTCCATGCTTCTTCAGGTATTTACCAATCTTTGTCTTTCGATAGAGGGATACCATAGCGCCAGAAAATGACAAATTCAGTTTTGAACTTATCTAACTGAAAACAACCTGAAATTAAAACCTCTGTTTTATTAAGTTTGGATGCTAAAGTAAATCCTCTCACCTGAACGTGTGCAGCTGGTCCTGCCAGTAGGTTGAAGACCACCTCATTTTGCAGGGTGTATCTGGGCCTCAGCGACCCAGGGGGCAGGCGGTGAGATGCGGTGCAGTTTGGACAGGAGGAGGGGGGGCAGGGACTGGCTAGGGACAGGCAGCGCCGCTGGAAGGGGCACCACTGCTCCAATCGGGGGCAGGGGGGGGGGTCGTCACCCCTCGTCTCATTGGAGACGCAGACGGCCACTGGGGAACACGCCGGACCTCCACAGCCTGAGATACAAGATGAATCACTTGCTTTCAATTAAAGCTTAAACACAGTTTAAAAATACAATAAAAATGTCTTTATAAAATTCACCTCCACTGCAATATTTATTAATTAATATATACTATTATATAGGGATTTGTACACTTTTTATTTTAGTTTAATTGAACTATAACTGGTCAAATAAATGCAGCGCAATAAATAGTAAAAAAAAACCTTCCTCAGAAATGTTTTGAATTAAAACTACAGTTACAAAACAATTGAAATACTCAATTGATTCTATTGAATTCATACTCATTATTTATTTTTTTGTTAAATAACAAGGGTTTTATTTGAGGAGATACTCCTCCCACCCTGGTCACAATCTGTTCGCTCTTCTGCCCTCTGGTAGACGGTACAGATCCACCAAAAGCTGTACAAAAAAACTCAAGAACAGTTTTTACCCGACAGCTATTATAGAACTCAATCTTAACTAGCACACACTGCTACTGACCTACACATTGCTCATCAACAAATATTTATTCCTACATTTATCTATTTTAAATATTTATGAAGCGAAAAACTCAGATGTACCTGTCTGTTTTTAAACACTGGGATTTTATCTGCATCTATTAATTGTATGTATGTAATAAAAATGTTTTGTAAGTCTATGGATTCATATATATAAACTTTTATTTTATTTTATTGCTTGTTATGCACTGACAGGATTGTTTTTCAAATGTCGTTGTACCTGTACAATGACAATAAAGGAATTACATTCAAAGTAAATCTAAAGCGGATTTACAGTTTTAGCTGTCACTTTTAATCAAACCGTTAAGTGAAGTGTAGTTAAAACAGTTAATTACTGGATTAAACAGATGGTATCTAGAGAGTATACTCATCTCTCCAATACAAACCAAAAAGTGTAAAAGTGAATGTGTGTTTAATTGTAATGGGAACATAATGAGCGATCTGGGCTGATATCCATCTTGAGGAAGGGGAGAGTAAACTTTCTTTCTGCCATTAATAATCCATCTCATTATCTCCATTGTCTGCTTGTCAGCGGCAGCGTTCACAAATTCCAAATGAAAGAAAACAACAGAAACAATTTTTTCGTGTCTTTAACAAGTTGCCTCCTCTCTGTGGAGTTCTGCTTATCACATCCGTCATCCGCTCTGTCTGTCCTCTCTCTATTGAACCACTCCACTGCTAGGTCTCAGTGGACACGTTAACAAAACAACACAAAAAGCATCTCAGATTTTCCGTGCATTGTGCCACGCGGTGTAGCAGCTAAGTGTGGGCTCAGGAGGGAGCTGACCTTGATTGATCTTGTCTACCTCTTCTCCTGTTTTGTCCCACTTTCTGTCTCAATCCAAACTTTACTTTTATAGTGGCCTCCCTTACCACCTCAGACAAGTGTGTGTGTGTGTGTGTGTGTGTGTGTGTGTGTGTGTGTGTGTGTGTGTGTGTGTGTGTGTGTGTCAATGTATTTGTGTAACCGGAGGTGTGAGTCCGAGCAGGTGGCACCTACTGAAAATCACCATCGATGTGCGGATGATTTTACATGTCAGGTTACCGGGGCGTGTGTGTTTCAGAGTTGGGCTCACCGGGTAGCAGCAGGTGCAGGCCGGGGTAATGACAGTGAGGTCTGTAGGTCTGGAATCGGACTTGGACTTGTGAGCTGAGCTGCTGAGTGAGAAACTCCAGGGAGGACAGACGGCCTGCCTGAACAAAGCTCAGAGCCGGGAACAACAGCACCTGGGAAAAAAGAGAGAGAGATGTTTTACGATTAGAAGGATTGAGGTACGTACATGAATAAATAAGCTGAGGTTCCTCCTCACCTCTATTCCAGCTGTGGGAGGCTGTGGCGCCGAGAGCGTAGCGGGCAGGGCATGGTGCATGGGATTATGGGAGGGAAACACAGCCAGGCCAACAGTGTAAATCCCTGCATCTGGAACACGCACTGTAGAGGCAGAAAGAGAATACATGATAGGCAGGGTTGAGGTATTTAAAACAATTTAGAGGAGTCAATTTATAAGAAATGGTGGCTCAACTTAAGTCAAGAACCTTATTTAAATAGTGTTTACAAAGGTGAAGAGGGCACAAACCTCGGATGACTCAGACTAAACAAAACTACCGTTCAAGATGTTAAAGGAAGAACGCTTCAGTGCACAATGCATCTGCTCGCTGGAGACTGACACAAACACAGAGGCAGAATCAAAGGCACGCTGGACCCAAGAAACACCAGACAGTCTGGCAGATACACACACACACAAACTGACTTTATGTTCGTTTTTGAAGCATTTTACATTTAACTGCTGTACATTTCTCAAGAGGACTTCAGTCTCATTAAGTTTCTTCTCCCGTGCAGCCAACTGAAATCTAGTTTAACTTCTGCTCGAGCTACGTCCACATTACATGGTACATTATGTGCAATTTTACGCATTTTGACACCTACACTCTCAGTTTTGAAGCACAACATTTTCTATTTCAAGATAATGACTGGATCAGAAGGCTTTCTACTCACAGACTTCACAACAGGTGACATACAAAAGTAATTTGGCTCTCCACTCACTGTTGAGTGTCGTTGCTGAGGTAAACACGTCAAAATGGCAGCAATTTTGCTTCAACAATCAGTTTGGCTCTCTTTTTTCGTCCACATCAAGTATAGATATCCAGTTGGCACATCTAGCAAAACCCTGTTTATTTACTACCGCTTTTAAATTCTTAGGCCTATATATTTTTTCATGAATATATTGTCGTATTCCTTTGAACAAGAAAATACCATTTATCCTCATGTTGGGTCATTGTTTCTGCTGTTCCTTAAGTAGCAAAAGCCTTAACAGCATTTAAAAGTACAGAGATGCTTCTATAAAATATCATGATGCATCATAAAGCTGAAAATGGTGGAGAACGTTCTCTTGATGCTCCTGACACAAGAAGCAATTTGTATCAATGCCAAAAGCCCTCGTAAAAAAAAAGAAGGTGCTTCAAGGAGCTTGTGATTTGTCATGAAGGATACTGAATGCTTTTACCTTCTACGCTTGTTCAAGCCACAATTTAATGAACATAAATTGAAAGTGTGGAAGGTTTAAAGTGTTTGCTTTTTCGCTTTAACCACTAAGGCTTCAGAGGGATTTTGGGAAATTGAATTGGAATAGAATCTTATTTTTTAACTCTATCAAGGGTTTTCAAATGCCCTGGTCTGTCTGTGTGAATGTTGGCAGCCTACCTTGGGGGCTAAACTGGCAAACATAAGCCCCCTTGGCGTTGAATTGGTGTGAACTAGTCTGAGCACGTTGATCGAGGGACCCGTCCTGGGCCTCGGAGCCGTTCACCCAGCGCAACTTAGCTGGAGAGTCGACATCCAGCCCCACACCTCGCTCCCTGGGAAAGAAATGTACAGGTTTCACACAGATTAACACCGTGCCAGCTTGACATCTAGTTGAGTGGCAGATGACAGCTGGAAGATTGACTCTTCACTTGAAGTATACACAGAAAGATGCACATATATGTCCAAAAAAGAAAAAACTCTACAGGAAATGATCATATCTCAAGACTCAATGATGAGAAATGTCATACATCTTGTTATGAATGTGAAAGTGATATCAGATGGAAAAAAACACCACAAACATCTTCTACAAGAGTAAAATATGGGAAATTTCAGGCCGATCAGACAACGTACGTAGGAGTTACAGCAGTATCATAAACATTGTTTGATGGCGAGTGATCTGTCGCCATGGCAACGACATTTGATAACACCCTATAATTCGCCTATTTGAGGGCTGCATCGTTATCGAACCTGTGAAGTTTTGGGTCGTTTGGAGCATGTTCAATGGAGTTATGAGAAGACCGTGTTTCATGGCAAGGGATCTGTCGCCATGGCAACAGCATTTGATGACACCCAATAATACGCCATATGTGGAGAGGGCTGCATCGTTATCAAACCTGTGAAGTTTTGGGATCCTCTGGTCTCAGACCCTAATAATGGGCTTTGATTGCCCAAGTAGGGTGGATAGCAGTGTGGCGATGTCAGATACTGAGTGTGTCCCTGTGATTATAAAAGAAAATTTGGATTTTTCAATCAATGAGTCCGCTAATGGAATGCACATTTTCTTCCCACGCCTTCTGTAAGTTTTACAATGTTAATAGAAAGCAACATTACCAAAAGAAAAGGTGCTGTATGAAGGCACACTCAAGGAAATGGAAGAAAATTAAACATCTAAAAAACTTTGTTTGATGCTGTACTGTACCAGAAATCCACCCGGATAAAAGCAATTTCCTTCCCAGTCTTGTTTTGTTATTTTTTTGGATCAGCCTCTCTATATCTATTTTTTTTCAACAGGCCTCCTTATATAAGTGAGGGGGTGGAGGAACACATGAGCGGAGGAGGAACAAGCTCCATCTGCAGCAGGTTTTTTCTACTCTCATCCACTTCTGATAGAGGGTATGGCCTCTATCTCCACACACACACACACACACACACACACACACACACACACACACACACACACACACACACACACACACACACACACACACACAGTGAACTCCTCCTCCCGGGTGTTAGAGTTACAATGCAGCTGTGCTTTTACAGATGTGTTTTTTCACGACCCTCTACGACCTAAACACCAGAACTCGGGGCATTCAGAACAGCACAAGCCCAGAAATCTTTTTTTATGGACAAAAGACAAATCCATACATGACGTAAAGTAGAGAAAGTAAACAGGCATTGCTATTTTTGTAGAAACAACATGACTAATCCTGAGGTCACTATCACTTCTCATCTGTATTTACCGGTAGTTATACTATGTGGGAAAAAACAACAATGAAAGTATTTAAGGCAGCCAGGAAACAAGACACATTAATGAGTCAATGTAAAAGATAACAAGGACAGCTTCAAGGCATGAAGCTTATAAAAAAAAGTAAGTATTAAAAAAATGACTGCCGTTGAAACACACATACAAACACAAAGAGACACTTTCAACAAAAAAACATTCACAAACTGACAGGAGAAGAAAAAGCTAAAATGTTAATTTAAACCTTGCAATTGATGTGTTTTTGTAAAACTACAAAAACTGAAAGTTGGCTAAGTATACACAGCGATCTATCGATTCTGCTGCGAACAGCAACATGGTGAGGAATATTGAAATGGTCGGGGATGACACTTTGTGTTGCAGAGCTGGCAGGTTCTCTATACAGTACCTGACAGAACTAATGCAGAAAAAACTGATAGAAATGATGAGAGACTATTTCTGCAGGACATCAGACAGAAAAACTCACTGTGGGACTTTGGGCGACAGAAGGGTACGCAGCGCGTCGAGTCGGGCCGAGGCCAGGTCCCCGCCGCGGTCTGAACACTGCTGTCGAGCATCTGTCCAGCTCAACTCCTCTGGAACAATCTGGAAACAGCGTGAGGACTCGGCGTGGTATTTCCCATCCTTTGAGCAGTGAGGGGAGGCTGGAAAAGGACAGAAACATTCACATGATTTCCCAGATCTTTGAGGCTCCACAGGAAACATCACAGAAAAAAACAGAATCATTGTTTTATTGCTAAAGAGAATATCTTCAAAAACTCTAATTCTATTCTATCCTAACCCTATTACGATTTTTTAAAGATATAAAAAATAGGAATGAATTCCTGCTTTAATCTTGTGGTACAGATTAATATTACATTGTATACATGTGTACTGTACAACGCATTCGTCAAGATCATTAGAAGTTAAAATACTACGTTCACATTCGGTGACGTTTCACTAGGTTATTCATTTTGCACTGAATGTTTATTGTCGAACTGTCATTAATGTGACCTTTTCCTCTAGGAATGCATCTCCATTTCCATAATAATCTTATTATTAAAATGTATGAAAGTGATTAATTTGGGTTGGAAAACATGGGCTGTATAGTGCATGTCTTCTTTATAGTGTTCAATTTTTTTGATAAAACCTTGAAATGGACTGGGCTTGTTCTTTGAAAAATCTTTGGCAAACACAGAAAAAAAGATAATAAATGAACAGAAGATGAAGAAAAAAAAAAACACTTAGGAGAGTGGCCTTACTCAGATACAAGGACACAAATAGTCACAGCCGGACTGCAACATGTTTTGTCTTTCCTATTCCAAAATGTTCTCCTCGAGTTACTCACATAAGTGAATATATTGCCTTGTCCTTTCTGTGTCTGTCTCTTTCTGCTAAAGTTAGTCTGCTTCTTTGTGGCACACAGATCGTATTTAATATTTAGATAAATCAGCAAAATCCAGGAAATCTTATTGCAAGGATGAGAGGGTATGAAGGAGGGGTTCTGGGAGATTAATTAAGGGGGGTAGGTTGTCTGTGTATTGTGAGTGTGTTTTTGTGTCTATATATAACTCTTGAATGTTTTTTACAAGACATTTATCCTGTTTTCGATCATGTTATTTTTCCACATAAAACCGATGAAGACCCACAGAGCTACTGTTGAGGTTTACAGTTTAGAGCTAAGTGGCTGTTTGTTACTATCAAGAGGTTTAGAGTCAAACACAAATGATTGACCGTTGATTAGCAACATTAGCTGCTTTTATCTGGTGTGTTGGTGTATTCTACCTTTGGCAACTTGGACACCATCCTTGGAAATCTTCCAGTCCACATCCACGCTGACAGCCCCCCAGCTGACAAGTGTGAACTCTAGGCTCTTATTGGCCACAGCCAGAGGAGGACAGCGCAGCTCCAGCTTGGGAGGAAGTGTCACGGTCACTTCTCCGTTTGCAAGGACCTCAAAAACGTAAACATAATAAATAAGATATTAAAATACATGTTGACAACAAGGTTTAAAAAACATAAAAATAGCTGTTCTTTGATATCCTTTATCCCTCACCTTCTTGTGTCCAGCAGAGACCGTCAAACTGATCGAATATTGTCCTGGAAGTCCGTATTTGTGAGTTGCTGCTGTGACCTCTGTTCCTGCTTGGTCGACCCGAGGAGAATGGTCACCAAAGTCCCAGGTTAGCATCACTGGAGTGACGGAGGACGTAGCGGAGAAACTGATGTGGTCGTGCACGCTTTGCAGTGGGAGAAACTTCAGTGAGACGGCAAAGTCCAACTCAAACACAAAATGAGCCAGAGCCCACCCGCATTCCTGCACAGAGAGGAAACCATGTGAAGAAGAGGAGGTCTTTGTGTTAATATGATTCATTGAAAGTCAATTATTTTAAATGTTTAGAAGTCTATGGTTTTATTATTTTTATGGTTTTAAAGGTCCCATGTCATGCTTTTCCGGTTATTACCCGTCCCCTTGTGTGTTATGAAGGTTTTTATGCATGTAAACGGTGTGCAGAGTCAAAACCTTCAAAGTACACCTTGTAGCGAGTAAAACTCTAACACAGAAAATACCTCCCCAAAACGCCTCGTTGGAGATACGTCATTGTCCATTGTTTACTTCCTGGGAATCGTGACGTAGGAATGGCCAGTAGCCCAGAGCTATGACGCGATACAGTCATGCGGTACCTGGAACCAAATGGGCCAATCCGTGGAGCCGTTACTTTACGTCCGCGGAGCTGTTACGTTAAGCCCCCACTGATTGGTCCAAATTGACCAATCCACGGACTTCCTCACACACACACTCAGTGCATGCAGCTCTGCTGATTTCTCCTCCCTGGCTGCAGGCTGATAACAGACAGTTGGGATCGCGGCGAAATTCTCTCTGCAGACCCATTCTCACAGCGTTTATCAACCTTTTTCTTACTCAATATCAAGCCACACTTATTGTTTTTACTTCGGCTGTGACTTTGTGTGTGCTCAGGGTGAGTTTGGCTGTGTTTAGCTGTCGCTAAACAAGGAAACCACGAGCTCAGCGCGATTCACAACGTCCCAACCAATCAGAGCACACTGTGCTCACAGGGAGGATGGGGGCTGGAGCTATTGGAGCTACAACGAGCCGTTAAAGGCAGAGAGTGAAATTCAGTGAATACACGTAGTTTACAGAGATGCTGTATGAGAAACCAAAGTGAGTTTGGAAAATTGCACAATATAAATCTATTCTAGTAGACCTCAACAATGGAATTATGATCAGTGGAAATGGCCATGACATGGGACATTTCAATTAAAACTTAAAACAAATAATCTGCTCTGATTTAAAAAAAAACTAATCTTTATCTCCAATTTAGAATTTTGGATAACTTGAGCGGCTCTATACAGCAGCGCCATAAGAAACTGAATCTGTGGATGAAGGGAAGTCATTCAAGCCCCAGAAGGAAGTTGTTGGTTGATTAAAAGAAGGGGTAGAGGAAATCCTTAATGGTGTGTTTACAGAAGAAGAAACAAAGCAAGAGGAGGGAACTACACTTCCTCAGAGTTTAATCATAACTCTTTGTGTGCTGCATACCTTCATTACATGGGGGTTTGTACAGGCGGCAGAACACTGAGACTCGCTGATCAAGTTCGGCTCCGAGTTCGTGCTGCAGAGGCACTCGTTCCTCGCCCCCAAGCCCCCGTAGCGGTGGGATGCAGCAAAACACACACTGTTACACTGTTCATGCGTGAAGTTTCCGGGTGTGGAGGAAGAGAAGATAACAAGCTCGCTCCGTCCCCCTCCTCCACTGCTGCTGTCCTCAAGACAACCTGCATAGTTCAGACCTAGAGGAGAAGGAAAGGTTTTCAGACAACACAGTGAAAATATATTTTGTCTTATGATCAATTATAATCTGTCCAAACCAGCAAAGAACTATCAAAGAGCTCAACTAATGAGAAGTTTAATCCTCTGATGTCGGTATTTCTCACCACAAAGATTGCGTAATATGATTACAATCATTTGGATTTGATTTAAACAAAAAAAAGCCGAAAATGTCAAATGAATTAGCATTTGCAAGGATTTATTTTTGTACTTTCTTTCCTTGTGAGACTTTATTGTAGGTGTATTAATGTAGCATCTCTGCAACATGCTTCGTACCACAGGTGAGCAGGCTGACGTTGAGCAGGGGTCTGTGTCGCAGCTCAGGAGGATGGTTGCAGAGCATGGCGTCCGGGCGTCGAACCCGTACCCCTTTCTCCTGGAGCCAGCTAACCAGCCGAAACAGCTTACAGTCACAATCAAAGGGGTTACTGCTCAGGTCACTGGGGGAGAGGAGGACAGGGAGGAAGGGGATCATTCATGGGGAAACATGAGATGTTTACATGTTAATCAAATTGTATGGTATGGGCTCATGGTAAAAAGAAAAGAGCAATAAAGCTGAAATCCATTATTTCAAATGAATTTTTAATAAGCTACAACAACTATGGTAGAACATTTGGAGTCTTCTAATGGAATTAGCTAACTAATTCATCAGACCTGGAGGAGAAGGAAATTAGGCAGTGGGATTTTCCACAATTGGTCATAAAAGTTAGCATAACCACAGAAAATGCGCTTGTCTTAACTCGTAACTCGTAACAACTTCAAAAAAGAAAAAAGCAGGGTAAATACATGGAGCAATAGATGGAAGTGGGAGAGAAAAACCTTTCAAGAAAAAAACAATAAGATGATATAAGTCGCTTGGAAATTAAATGTATTATTATTATTATTATTATTATTACCGACTACTACATTTAACTGTGCTGAATACAAATGTGCACAAAAAGAAAATTACTCACTACCTCCCACTGCAGTCTGAAATAAAGCTTCATTCATCTTGAGCGTAGGCGAGGTAACTGGAAACGTGCTGCTTACTTAAGCATGTGTGATCAGAGGCGTTTGTAACATAATGCTTTAATACATCGGTGTACAAATAGGGTCTAATAATATTTGAATGATCATCTGATTTGTTTTGTTTTTTGGAAAGACAAGAGACAAAGAGATACAGAGAAAGAAAGAAAGAAGTGACTGTGATTACTTACATTTGAGTTAAGTTGCAAAGGTTGTCACATATTCTTTCTTCTATGGTGGTGATGACATTGTTGCTCAAATCGCTGCAGAACAACACACAAAGCAGAATTCATATTCAAACAAGTCTTAAGTCACTTGTATTGAATTTCTGATTGGTGGCAATTCATATGGTACTGTCATTATGTGATACATAATTGCTGTGTGGTTTCTGTTATTGACAACAGAAATAGGGTCATTGGATGATTGGAGATGTGAAGCTGATTCTTCGATGTTATTATCTGATTGTTGCAATCACACAAAATGTGTTGATCAATGTAGAGGGCATTTTCACATCTTCTTCATAAAAACTGCATCAGATATATAACGCCAAATTAACTAAATCCAAAACAACTGAAGTGCTGAGTAAGAGTTAGACTTGTTTCTTTCCGCTTTGTTTCCATACTCTCTTTCTTTTTCTTAACTCCCTCCCTCTCTTCTCTATCCAGTAGGCTACATAATGGGGCCGTTGTGTGGCGGTTTTGGAAGGAACTGATGGAAACCACCAGTCCTCTCTCAATATATACACACACACACACACACACACACACACACACACACACACACACACACACACACACACACTTAAATGGCCATTCAGTGGGTGGAAGAAATAAGGTAATGGTTGGAGGGAGAGGGAGAAATGGGGCGGGGGGGTGGAAGGAGGTAGTAGGAGCCTGGAGCAGTTAGCAGTAATTGAACTTAATCGTGCCTTGATTGGTATGTGTGTGTGCGTACATGTGTGGGTGTGTGTGTTTACAGTATACAGTGTGTGTGTGTGTGTGTGTTTTTGTGTTTTTGTGTTATTGCTCTCCGGTCCAGATAGCTTGCTCCAGGGATTTCTGCCTACTTAAATCCAGACTAAACCAGACCTTTCTCCCTACTATTTTTTTTTCTTCATCTTCCTCATCCTCCTCTACTCTCGACCTTGGGTTTGCAAAGGTCCTCATCTGTTCTTGACTTTGTACTCACAGGATTGACAGCGGTCCGCAGCAGAATACTCCCCTCGGGAGAACATTGATCCTGTTTCCTTGGAGATACCTAAAAGATAGATATATAGTTACATATATCAAGAGAGATGCAGATAGATGGGTCCAAACTGTATATGAATATTTAACTGCATTGCATACTCACAGCTCTCGGAGGCCAGTGAGACGATCTAGCAGGCTGGTATCAAGGGAGGAGATGTGGTTCCTGGAAAGGTCTCTGCGGGAACAAACCGACATGTCCACATTTAAAATGCATGACAGGGCAAGATGATTGCAGGCACACAAAATCACACAATCATCCTCAGGCGACACCATTTATTTAACTGTGGCTGTGCATGTGCTGGGAAATTACATTTTAAAATTGCAAAGAGAAACATATAACAGTAGCTCCGTCTGTAGGGACTAACCGAAGGGTTGGCGGTTCAATTCCCAATCAGACTCAACAAATACAGAGTGTGGACTGGAAAGGTGCCACTTCTATAATGCATATACATGTATTCCAACGCATGTGTGTATTTGTACTGTACTGTGTGTGTGTTAAACATATACGGTGTAGATATAACCCACTAAACACAGTGTAGATATATGTATCTACACTGTGTTTACAGAGTGGAAAACTCAATTTACCCTATGGGATCAATAAAATGCTGGAGGACACAATACTATGAACAAGGGGTGTATACTTGTACTGACGATAGCTTATAAAACAATTGAATATTGATAGTTTTATAATGTACATGAATAAATAATCCAGCACCTTTTAATAATTTATTAAGTTAGTAATTAAACTACAAAATAATTTCTTGTTGTGCAGTGATGGTTGGAGAATTCCTCTCCACTGCCAACACTATTTTGAGTTCAATTATTTTGCCAAAGAAGAAACAAAAAACACAATATGTAAAGTTAAAGTCGATATTTACTGATAGCATTAATACATATTTTATTTAATCTCTAGAAATATCTTGTTAATATTCTTATAGTAATTCATTTTGGCCACAATAATCATGTAGTGTAACTCAGAAACCATGACAGCCCTACAACAATAATGCAACCTGTTCTGTGTTTTTTTGTCACAGATGTCACATATCACTATCCTTTTTTCTTAAAGGTGACCTATCATGCAAAATGCACTTTTGTACGTCTTTTATACATGAATATGTGTCCCCGGTGTTCCAGGGAACTCACCAAGTGTCAGAAAACACAACCCTCTCTCTTTTCCTCCTTACCCAAATCTCTTAAAAAGGGGCTGCAACGGATCTGATACAGACTGATACAGATTTGAACACTTCTGTGACGTCAGACGTCACAGAAGTGTTCAAATCTGTATCAGTCTGTATCAGATCCGTTGCAGCCCCTTTTTAAGAGATTTGGGTAAGGAGGAAAAGAGAGAGGGTTGTGNCCAGGAGACTATTCTCCAATTACAACACTGAGCAAGTGCATTGAGCAAATCAATGAATGGATGAGTAAGAACTTTCTCCAATTAAACAAAAACAAAACTGAGGTAATGGTTTTTGGAGCAAAGGAGGAACGATTAAAAGTCATCGCAGAGCTTCAGTCGGCAGACTTCAAAACAACAAATAAAGCAAGAAATCTAGGTGTAGTGATGGACTCTGACCTGAATTTTAAAGCACTGAATGGTTTAGGACCAAATTATATTAACGATCTCCTGCATAACTATGAACCATCCAGGAGTCTCAGGTCTTCTGGGACGGGTCTGCTCTCTGTCTCCAGAGTCAGAACTTCTTCTTAAATGTCTTTTATATTATTTTGTAAAGCACTTTGATTTGCCGTGTGCTGAAAGGTGCTATATAAATAAACTTGCCTTGCCTTGCCTATATTTATCTTTATTTGAAATGTCATAGTGTTAGGACTGATTTTATTATAGTAAAGATATTGTTTTTTCATACAAATGCAATGTGTCTATATGTTAAAAGTATCCTATTTTAAATGATTAGTACATTAGCCTTTGAATCTAAAGACAGAAATACTGGAGAGATAACCAGAAGTGATTAACTTCAATTCTTAGTTAATGCTTCATACTGCAGTGGACCATTTGACTGGCATGTGTTTTATGTCCATCATAATCTTACAGGGAAGAAAACAGAGCATTGTACTGAAGGTCATGTGCAAAGTAGAACAGTGTGTAAGACACCCGTAACACATTTGTCAGAAATACTATAAGAGTCGGGTTCAAAATAAAAACCATGTGTCAAATATATCAGGTAATAAATGAAAATAAAACAAGTGTCATTTTTCATGGACTTCTATACAGCCAGGGCTCCTTTTCGTTTATACTCCTGATGTATTAAATGTGGCCTTTAAGATGCGGCATTATTCCACTGCCGTTGAAGCTGCGCACAAATAACATCTGGGGAACTCTACCTGATATGATCTAACTGTCTGCAAAATCAATGAAACTTCAGCTGGACTTCGGTTTAAAGGTCTTTCCAAATGTTCAGCTATGGAAAAACGGACTTACGTCTCCGGAAACGCCTCCATTGGACTCCTTTGTTTACTTCCATAACATAGTGACATCCCTGTGTGACACTTACATTTCTATTGGCTAGCGCTCCAACCTATGGCTCCAACATATTGTATGTGATGGGCTAAGGGGTTGTACATCTCTATGCACAACAGAGCCAGCCAAGTAACCAATCAGAGCAGACTGGCCTCTGGTTTCAGACAGAAGGTGAAAGAGGTGCTGCAGCACAGGCAGTATGAGAAAAATGAAGAGCTTTTTGAACATTAAAGCATGTCTTTGTTTGTGTAGACCTTTATATATATATATTTTGTGTTATTTAAAAAAAAAAACACAAAAAACAAGAACATAAAAAAAACCTATTAGCAGGGATGTTTTTGCATGATACTCGTTTGGGTTTGTGAATAAAGATTTTTGTCTGCTGCTCATCTTCCCTTCATCTCTCTCTTCTCACAGCTTTGGGTTTGAGATAATGAAGTGTACACTGATCAAAAAATCAATGCTCTACTCTGATTTATGTGCACATGCATGCAGACATGCATATCTGTGGTGCCATTCTTGAATATGTTCTTGACTGAATAATATAACATTTCATGCAATAATGTATATTTTATTTTATAATGCTAACACAGTAAGAGTGTGCACATTTGCCTGTGTTTCTCTGAGCAGAACCTACATAAGTAATTGAGGAGTCACCCAGGCTGACTTCATTACAGAGAAGAACGTTTTCTAAGACCTCTGAGAAAAGGAGAGAGAGTCAGAAAGAGATTTGATTTCTGCCTCTCGGAGGAAACGTGTTCATTCATAAAGATGAACTCTCAACCTTGGAGTATATCAAATATCAAAGTACCCTTCAGGAATATAGAATGTGTGTGTTTGTTTGTGTGTGTGCGTGTGTGTGTGTGTGTGTGTGTGTGTGTGTGCGTGCGTGTGTGCGTGCGTGCATGCGTGCGTGCGTGCGTGTGTGTGTGTGTGTGTGTGTGTGTAGGTCTTCCTCTCAGCTTGTGTAAGCCATATTCACTTTTGACTTCCTGTCAAGCATGACGACTGGTTGCTATGTTAATCTCTTGCTTTGCATATAAATCACCTCGATATAAGATATGACAGGCTTGTTGAGCTGCGGGATGTTGATATGTTGGTTGTTTAATCACAATCCATCACCTTCATAAATATACATACAAACAAGGTGCAAAAAATCCGAACTGTCTGTTCTTAATCACAGCATTTTATTACAGAGAAACACAACAAACATACTGCATCGAAGCATCTGAACAACAACTTAGACAATGATAAAATATACAAAATGTCTCAATTTGCATGTCAAAGCCCACGTTCTGATCACCCTCCATTGTCTTCAATGCGTGCCCTTGATTCATTTTCTTAAAGAAAGAGAGCTGAAAAACATCCATAATTGGGAATTTTTAAACTCATCCTTACGCCTACATGTTCGATCAGCTTTTATCGAATAACACAATGTTTCTATAAAAAGTGATTGGCCACGTGCATAAATGGTATGAAGACCAGAAATACGTCCTTACATTCAATAACGCAAGATTAACGTGTTTTTGTGCTTGTACAATGGCCACCTACCAATTGAAAAGACCTGTTTGTTTAATGTGTTCATACTCCAATAAAGTCATATCTATCGGAAATCTTCTCCCATCTGTCCAAGAAACGACACAGGACGTTTAATAATAAAAGCTCAATGGGAGAAACGTTTGCAATATCGCAGGCAGCTGTGCTGACTGATCAAAAATATCCACTGGGTAGTTACAGTATATATTATATATATATATATATATATATATATATAAAATCTCAAATCAAATCTATTGTACAGTTAACAAGGCGCTGATCAAAACATGGTCACACAATAACACTTGCTACAGTATATGCTGATATCATCCCTTGATTCAGCAGCTTGAAAGGCATGAATTTAAATGTGCAAAACAGCCACGAATGTAGACACATAAACACTTACATGGCATGAAAAATGCACAGGGACTCACATTAGGTGGCATACAATATTTACAGAGAGGTAACAGGTTTTGTGTTCAATGCTGGCAACATGTGTACAGAAAAACACTTAGCTGGCATCGAGACACCTCTCCTGTGAAGGAGAAGCTGATAAAGCAAGCAAGCCATCTTTTGAAAATAGTCACAGAAAGTGTTACAGCAGACTTTTAACACAGAGCTATACAACTTTCCATTCCAATTAAAGCAGAACACTTTATTTTGTTTTTGTTTTTATTTTATACATATTATTCCTGTGGTTCTTTATAATTATGTTAGTAAACATAAACTCATCCATGAGCGCTCAGACTCAAATGTGTGATGTCGTAAAGTATAAAGTCTCCAACTGCTCCAACACAGAGCACTCAGGGGTATCATCTAAATAAATGGATTACAATAGAACTAAAAAAGAAAAATGCCTTCTGGGTTTATAAATAAAATGTAATTCTCTATGGAGCTGCATGCTCAAGACTTTATACCTGATGAAGTCACAGATTTGACCACTGGTTTTCTCTTCTCTTCTTTGTGGCTTTGAGAGAGAGTAGCTCATGTTCACAATTATCATGATGGAACATTCCTGCACCATTGAAATAAGATATTGGTGTTTTCATTTAGGTGGTGTTCCTCTTTAAGTGAGGAGAACCAAAGTAACAAGGACCTTGAAATGGAAACAATGCACTTTTACAATAATACAGAAACACTCAACACCATAGTACTTTGTGATG